GTCTGCATTTGTGATCGGAGAAATTACAAACAACAAGCGCTACTCTACACTGCTCAAAACTTGCGTTTGAATCGTCTGTGGCAAATTCTTTAAATATGAAAACTTACTTACAGTCTGTGAGTCAGAACAGCCGGCATTGTATTCTACTCTGCCAGGAAACAGTCCTCCATAAAATGTGCTGCACACATCTGAATATTTGGGTTGAACTTGTTCTGGAACAGTGTTGTAAATAAAACTTAACCACTGATTTTTAGTTCTGTCCTCTTTTGGAAGGCCAAACAAAGTAGTTTCGATTTCACAGCAAAACACGGTGAAAGCCGATCCGGCGATCCACAACGCGAAGTTGATGCATTTCCTCAGCGACCAGCACGGATCAGCTCCAGGCATGACGACGCGGATATCATCCTCTTTTGGAAGACCAAACAAAGTAGTTTTGCTTTTACAACGAAGAATAATTCATATTTAAACTAAACTGCAGATCTCATGTTATGAGAAATTTTTTTAGCGAGAACAATGATCAAATTGCACACTTACTTCAATATTATGGCGGACACTGCTGGATTCGGTGGAATGGTCCATTGTCCGGTTTAAATAATAGCTACTGTACAACCGCAGCTGCACTGAGGTGTTGATGTGGTGTGAAGGCATCTCCACAACATTATGAAAAATACCACTGTATTTGAAGGATACAACTTGAAAAAAAAAAAAAAACGGTAAGATTTGCGTTTCTTTTTTGAAATACTTTGTCAGTGATGCGCCGAGTCATACAATTCTGTTTACACTGCAATACATATAGGCTTATCTGTTTCCACTAAAAATAGCTAAAAGATGTTCACCTCATCAGCAAAACTGCATAAATTTAATTTGATTTGAATTGTCTAAAACATTCTGGATGATTTTGGCAATAAAAATTATTTTGGCACAAATGGCATTTAGTCCGTATCTCATATTTCCTTAACGTCTTGTACCTTTAACGTTAAACATGGTGTCACGTGGATGGGAATATGCATGGAAATGATATACAGATAAGGTTATGCATAGTAGAATTTGGCGTTGTAAGCTCCATATATGGTTATTTCGGGGAGGAGACGGGGTGGAGATGCACGTACGCACAATCTTTCCCTGACTGGGATTTATAAAGGGATTTTTGCGCAGGTTCTGGCGTACGCATGGTTTTATAAATCTGAAAACTTTTGTGCGTACGTACACTTTTAGGATGAAATCTACGGAGAGTTTTATGCATGAGACCCCAGCACTTGCCAATATAAACCAGTTTGGAAATGGCTAGCTTGTCTGAGCTAGATTTGCATTTTTTAGCTTGGAAACATAAGAATGAGATTTCTAAAGCAACATTTTTAATTTGACAGAATCTGTATTTTTAGTAATTTGTTGGTCTCAAAAAACACTGGGTTCAGACTACTTAATTTTTTTTAAAGAGCCAAAAGTATTTTGTTTAGCAGCAGACAACCAATTGTAAAGTGCCTCAATTCCTGGCTAATTAATTATTCAGGAGCTTTGTGCAGTTACAGTAAGGTTCATATGCTGAGCTTGTATTTTTGTTGTTGTTGTATTTGCTTTGTTTTTGTTGGGTGTTTCAGAAGTTGATTTACATTGTGACACTTTCACCATTCGACAAGCAGTTATTTCAGAGTTTTTCAAACTAATATGCAATTCAAATTAATATGCAAATAAGAACATAAGGAAATTATTCTGAAACATTGTTCAGAATCTTCAGGACCTGACTTTAGACCTGAATTTTGAAACCTAACTACCCACGACTAATTACTCTCCCAGGGTGAACTATGTAAAACATGTTACAAGATAACCCAGGATTATATAAACTCAGGGTTTGGAATTACACCAGCTTTACAGTTTCAAGTGTGGGAAAAGCCCATCTTTTGTTTATTTTGATGTTGTCTTGTCAATTTTTGTGGGAAAAAAAACCTGCATAAAATCTTCCTTACGTGGTCTCCCTATATATGGCCTCCTGCTCGTCCTTCATTTAGACCGACCCTCATTTTTGGCGTAGTTTCTTTATTAACATGCTGACTGATGTGGCAATGAGATGTCTGGCTCTCACACAAGACACATTGGCTTGAGTTCAGCTGCCTTCCCATCATGCAAAATAGGAGGTCTAAGATAACCACCCCGAACCACCTGCTGCTTTCTACCACGGCCCGGCATTAGACAGCAGACCCAGGGGCTGGAGAGAGAGGAGGACTGCACTTTAAATTAACTATGTCTGTGAAGTGAGCCTGTGGCATTTTACAGGGCTTTGTGTGTGCAGTTTGTAACAAATCCCTTTATCCAGCGAGTTCCCTTAAGGAATAAATCAAACGTTTCTTTTTTAGCCCCTCGATTTGTGACCTTGTAAGGCTGTGTGTGTAGTTCCCAAAAGAGGTTTTAGTGGGACGACGGTGCTTTGTATGGCCTTCTGGTTCCTGGCTGGTGCTGTAGATGTTGACTTTAGGATGATAAGTGGGGTTGGGATGAGCATATCACCAGCTGTGTTGTATCTAGTCAGTGGGCAGAATAAGATCCAGTTTCCTGACGTTGCACAATCGTCAAAACCTGATGTGACCTTCCTTTCGTTCACAATGGATTGCAAGTTTATATGTGAAGGTAGAACATCCCTGCATTGCATCATAAAGAATTTACTCTTCACCCTTAGATGATAAATACATAAGCTAAGCCTCATTTAGGATAAAAAATTATAAAAAAAAAAATATGCAAGAGTGTATTGTCAGAGGTAGAGATGTCCATTTTGGTCATTTTGACTACTTTGAGCCCTGAATTCAAATTGGACTGGCCAATATATCATCAAAACTTTAGAAGTGAATTGTTTTGAAGCTGAAAAAACTGTTTAAAGTAGGAATGCATGATATATCAGTGCCACTTTGGCTATTGGGTAAAACTTTTAGATTTTTATTTATTAATTCAAAATAACAATGTTGGATATTATTCATTCTAATTTCCCCTATTTTTACATTTAGATTACCTTTATCGTCATCTAATGCTCACTTGAAGTTAATCTTACAATCTTTAGTAAATCTCAAAAATGAATAACTGATTTCATACTATGCATTATAATGTTGTGATTGTCAAATTCACTTGTGGATTTTATAATGTGTGATTTTAGAGTTTTTTTTATCAATCAATTAATTAATTAATGAATTTTTAAATTGGATTATGTAGGATAATAATGTCCATTTATTTTATTTTATTTATAGGAACTAGTTGCTGGATTTTATGGCAAATAATAAGATGAACTGTGGTTCGTCACCTAATATGTTGTTTCTTTGCCAGATCATGCGCTCTTAGAGTGTTTAGTATTTGTTAAGTACAATCTCCTCCAGATGTTGATATATAGCCTATATAGTGAGGGTGATGAATCTCATACTGCTGTTATTATTATGTTCACTCAGACAAAGTATTCATAACGGGGTGGTGGGTAGAGGAATAGTTGTGGAGTGATGTTGTGGGAACAGAAGGATACCCCGGAATCCCTGTACCCAAGAGAGCCATGCATGGCCTCTGGCCGAGGCTGGAAAACACAGCTGCCACTGTCTGTCCAGTGTGTCCGGCACAACTGACGTATGGTAATTAGACCAGTGCTGACACATCTAAGATATTAGATTAGACTGAGGTGGATTCATACGCTTATATGTGACCGTATATCATGTCATTATGGTCCTGCTGACTGTGAATATGAAGAGCTGAATCTCAGTTCTCAGTCATTTCAGACCAGCTGTAAGTGTTTCATGTGGTTGATAATGTTTTTTCCCACAATCTGGGCTGATGGAATTCGTTCAGGCCAAAGTCAGTTCACTTGGTTGCCATCTTAGTAACACCCTAGAATCTTGTTTCTCGTCATGCAAATACAGCTCTTATCTATGCCTTCCAGGATTTACATTTTGTCAGTTCATGCATTCAAACCTATGACCTTGGCATTGTTAGCACCATGATCTAATGTTTGAGCTACAGGAATGCTTGAAACAATGTAATCACGCATACATCGATGATATGATTCATCCTGCTTCTTCTGCACCAAATCAAACTGTATTTTCCAGGCTGGTTAAACTAATTTCTAGCAAAAAAAGCAATATCTCTATTTTACCTGAAAGTTAAGACTTCCATTCTGGCACCACCATTATTTTATTTTATTTTATTTTATTTTTCATTCATTCATTCATTCATTCATTCATTCATTCATTCATTCATTCCTTCATTCTATTTTATTTTTTATTTATTTATTTATTTATTTTTTACATGAAGAATGATGCTCAAACACAAGAACCTGATTCTGTTGATATCAAAGCTTTTATTACCCACAGTGCAGGTTAACATAAAATAACTTCTACATTCATAAATGATCTCTTCAGTTAAATAAACATTGTATATAGGATTGAAAGAAAATATTCTGCTTTTTTAAGATTAATTAACCATGAACATTGTTATGCTTAAGCTGACCAACATTTTTTAGTAGCATGGATGGATGTTGATCTAGAAACATGTCTTGCTTGTGTAAATCAAATTATATATGAGTTTTGGGTTTGTTTAGATGATGTTTTAGAACAATGATGGTCAGTGTGTTAGGTCAGTCAGTCAGATTCTGTTTCTTCTGGCACAAGTCCGTACACCTTTAATGGGTCTGAGCTCCAAAACCCCCCATCACACAGTCTTGAGATAAGTATTGTTGTGTGAACTACACGAGGAGTGTTTCTCTCCCGTGCGCAACAGCAGTTTCCCACCTGGTCTATCCACCCCCTTCGTTTTCCTCAAAGTCTTGTGTTAACCAGCGCTCCGCCCCGCTGGTGTGCCGCTGTCCCTTTAATTAGCACAAAGTTGAAAAGAACCCCCCGACCCACTTTGGCAACGTTTGTCCTGTAGTTTCTCTCCACTTTTCCCCCTCCCCTGTGGAGTCACTTTAAAGGGGACCTTCTTTCTCGTTCTCTCTCACTTCAAACAAAAGTCTTCCTGTCTGCCTTTGATAATTGGCCAAATTGGTCCCTGGCCTGGGGTGAGGAAATCAAGCTGTTTTTAATGTGAGATGAGTAGGCGTTGGGTGGGGGTGAAGGTGGTCCGCTTGGCCCAAGAGTCCCAACAATGGGTCCCTGATGGTAGGCCGTATGGGTATGAGCACAATGAAGTCCTGTTGTCTTGGAGTAAGAGGTTTGGTAATGGTGTGTGAACCACCCTGAGTTTTAAGACCTTTTTAAAGGTGTTGTGTTTTCCAGGTCAAGTACTTTGACCTCCAAGGTCAAATTTAAAGACCATTTGAAATCGTATAGGTTTGTCGGTAGGCAAAGTGTTCACACCTCTCCATATGTTAACACCTTTGAATGCACGTTTATCACAAAGACCCTCATTACTCAAGGTCTGTGGTTTTATAACATCACTCAGAATAGTCATGTCTGTTGAATTCCCTCTGGCTGTGATGCTTGTAGTAGTAAAGTTCGCTCAGTTTTTTTTAAATTTGTCATTTTTAACGAAGCCTCCACTCGGGATGCTGATCTTGGCCGGAGGTTTTAAAACATCTGCAGTGACTCATTCATCAGTGAGTCACATTTCCAGTGTATATTCCCCATTGGTGAGTTAGTTTAGTATCTTGAATAAACAGTAATGCAATCAATCAGTATTATAAACTTGCACAACTCACTATACATAGAGATTCTGAAAGGGGATTTTTGCAGCGATGCCATAGAAGAACCTATTTTGGTTCCCTCGAGAACCTTTCGGTAAACAGTTCAAGGAATAGTTCACCCAAAAATGAAAATTTGCTGAAATTTTACTCTCCCTCAGGACCTCCAAGATGCAACGAGTTTGTTTCTTCATCAGAACAGATTAAGAGAAACTTTGCATTACATCACTTGCTCTTCAATGGATCCTGTGCAGTGAATGGGTGCCGTCAGAATGAGAGTCCAAACAGCTGATAAAAACATCACAATAATCCACTAGTAATCCTCATGACTCCAGCCCATCAATTAACATCTTGTGAAGCAAGATGCAGCATTTTTTTATCTTCAAACAGTTGCTTTCAGCTAAAATGAGTCCTCTAGCCATAATATTGCTTGTATGTTTATATCTGGTTATGATCGGCCGCTTTGAATGCTCAAGCTCTTTAAAGTTGGGTGGATTCTGATTGGCTGTCAGTGTTTTTATTGTTCATCAGCTGGAAAAACTGGTTCTGAAAGTGATTCCAACAACATCGTTCCTCTGTGTCATTATCATTATAGTGATGGTGTGGACTTCCTTCTTCTCATAGGATTAACAATTATTAAAAACTTTACTGTTATCATCCTTGGTGTGAACGTGCCTTAACTAATGAACTCTATTGCCCCCCTTTTATAGAAGTGTTTCACTTTGCTTTGCTGTCTATGGGACTGATCCAGTTGAGATCCATGGAGATTACATAAGAAGTTATTTGTAGTGACATTAGCTCAGTTTGTTGCATTCCTATTTATAATTTGCTTGCCTTCACATCTTTTCACAGCTGGAGACCCAGAGCCAGAAGATGTAAATCCCTGTTACTCTGGAAATCATGACTGTGACACAACTGCACAGTGTGTGCCGGGCGAGGGACAGCTGTTTTCGTGCCAATGCGCCACAGGTTACAGAGGAGACGGTCGCAACTGTTATGGTAAGAGAAGTTATATGGAAATATCTCCCTGCACAAACACACACACTTGAGCTGTAAATCCAATTCCAGGTCCTTGACACTCTGTTTAATAAGTCGAGGGTCTGGAAAACTTCGGGAATAACCCAAAACCTTCGCCTTCCTTCATTAGAGCCATGCATCTGCGTAACATCAACATTGCAGGTCGTTCAGAAGTGGGATCATCATCACCACTGTAGTACATTAGCACGACCAGACGTTTCCTATCCAGTGAGTCAGACGCAAAGTAGAGGAAACCCTCAGTGAATCATGAACGTGCCCAGGGGTCTTTCCCCTCATCTTCTTCCTCCCACTGTTACCAAGCCAAACAGCAGAAAGACTAAACACTCTTTAGGTGGAATGTGGGAGATCTGTGGGCTTGCAGTGAGTCTGGGGAAGAATTGTAAGCGAAGACACATTGCTATGGCGTTTCTGTTTGAGCTGCACACGCAGAGGCCACATCCTCAGCTTTAAGCTAGTCGGGGGGCTCAGACCACCTGATATTTCCTCTTTTGAACAGGGTGGAGAGCAAATCGCACCTCCCCTCCAGAAAACTCCCTATGTACACATACAGATGTGCGTTTTTTTTTCTTGAGACCCTTATTCCAGATGATATTTGACATAGAGACGTAATGATGTCTGATTTGAGATCAAATTGTGTTTTTGAGTCGATTCTGATTTAGTGATTTGGTTGAACTGATTCACAAAGCAAAAGAAAGCTTGTAGCTGTTGTTCGGCTGCATAAATAACTTTTGAAAGACTGATCACAAATAGAATGTATTGCCATCTTATTAAAACTTAAGCTGTCATATTTCTAACTTGACAGGTAATCTTGACTTGACAACTACAGCAGTGCATATTTGCATAATATCAGAAACGAGATGAATGATTCAAAATCATTTAAACAGTTTCTTAAAAAGTTGTCCATGCTTTATTTTTTAATAAAGCTTATTTGCATGAGCTTATTTTCTCAGCCGTCACATCGCTGAACACACCATTTTGAATAAAAAAATCATTTTTTACAAGTAAAACTGCAAGCTGGAAAGAATATTGTGGAGTAATTAATTCTAATACTAAAATAATTTTTCTAAATATTTTTGTTATTTTGGTAACAATTTTTGGTTGTTGTTGTTGTTGTTAAAAATTCCCTGATGCAACCTAATTGGAAACCCCACGCTAAACAGCAATTTTACTACAACAATTACAATTTTTAAATACATTTTATTTGATTTAGTTAATTGTTCATTTTAACTGGTTGGTTGGAACAAATTGATTCAAATTTGACAATTACATTTTTTTTGTGCATAATTCTTTTATGTTTATAAAGCTCATTTGCATAAAGTTGCACTTTTCTCAGCATTGTTACATCACTGGACATGCCCATAAAACAAAAAAATAATTATTTTCTCATGGGAAATGAATGACTTATTGCTGCTTTATCTCTGTAAATCAGTATATATGTGTATTTTATTACCAGTAAAACTGGAAAGTTGGAAAGAATATTTCAGAATAAGTTATATTAATGTAATTATTATTATTAATATTGGGAGCAATTGTTTATTTTGTAACCACATTCATTTGATTTGATTCAGTGAATCAGTTCTTTTAGAAGTGTTTCTTTGGAACAAAACATCCAAACAAAACAATTCATCAGAATGAATTGGATTTCCCTGTGCGGCTGTGTGAGTGTGTATGTGTGTGTTTTCAGGCATGTTCCTATTAGAGGATCATTTTATCACCTGTCTGAACTCTTCACTCTAGAGCAGATAATAAGGGGGTCAAGGAAAGAGAGCAGAGCAAAATCAAGAGAGAGAGGGGGACCGTGTATTCCTTACCCTCCCTGTAATTAGCAATGATCAAAACCAGGTGTCCTGCTGACCAGCTCTTAACCCACCCAGAGCCTCAGGCCTGTTCCCACGCACTGCGACAGGGACGACATCCCTCGCTATCTTCCTCTGTCATCACAAACGGCAGGATCGAGGCATGTTTTATCTCTCCAGCACCTGAATGACATGCTTGCCGCACACCAAGGCACCTCTTATAGCCTTTTAGACACCCAGAGTCCAAAACAATGAATCTTGTAGTGTGATTGGTTAACATTAGAGCATTATGGGTTGTAATTGAGCAGTTGTTCTCTCTCTGTAGATGTGGATGAGTGTGCAGAAGGTCTGAGCTCCTGTGGTGCTCATTCTTACTGTGTGAACCTGCCTGGAAGCCATCGCTGTCAGTGTGAGAGCGGATTTGAGTTTGGATTTGACGGTCGGACATGCCAGGGTAAGAAACATCTTCATTTCCTGTGCAGTCTGTGATTCGACACAACTCGTGTATAACCAAACTTGTGTATTCCACACATTAGATATTTTTATTTATCATTCAGAGGCAAATGTATATTTAATGCTTAACAGGAATTGGGCGGCTTTGAATGAAAAAAAAACGTCATGTCATGCAATTATTCATATAAATTACTATGAAAATTAAACTCCCAGCCAAAGTAATTAATTAATTATTCATTTAAATTATTTATTTATTTGTTACTTTACTTATTTACATTATTGTATATTTTGTTTTCATTTTTCATTTTATTATACTTATTGCCACAAGTCTAAGGCCAAAAGTTGTGTGTGTTCATATCTTAAAGAAAACAGTCAATCGCATTGTTTGCAACTGTATACAATATAAACTACTTCTGAAAAATACAGTATTTTTATTCATAGAAAATCCATATAACATACTATTCATCATTATTTATTCATATCATTATTTATTTAGACTGACAGGATTTAAAAAAAAAAAAAAAAAACTTTTTCTACCTAAAGTTTGTGGTCAGTAAAATTTTCTTTTATTCTATAATTGATGCTTTTATTCAGCAAGGATGCATTAAATTGTGCAAACGTGACAGTAAAGACATTTATAAAGTTGCAAAAGATTTCAAATACATTTAGTTTTTTTTTTTTTTTTACTTTCTATTCATCAAAGAATAGATCATGGTTCCCACAAAAACATTAAGCATCACAACTGTTTTCAACATTGAAAATAATAAGAAAACCACAATGAGTACTAGCTGCAGTAATTTATTCACAAAAATTACATTTTAAAATATATTAAAACAGAAAACAGTTCTTTTAAATTGTAATAATTTTTCACAATATTACTGTTTTCACTGCATTTTTGTTCAAATAAATGCAACCTTGGCCAGCAACACAAATGAATGATAGTGTAACTTTTTTTCCAATATAAAACTGGATGTTGCTTGTGGCATTAAATGTGCATAATGTGACAACAATTTGGCATCTTACTGTTTTGAATGTTTATTGCTATATACTCTACTGTGCACTATTTCACATAATGTATTGCACAGCATGCAGCATATGTTAGCTTCTAAGAACACAGTCAGCAGTTTATATGTGACTCAGTCTGAGTTACTTTCTGTCATTGGGATGTGATGTGTTGCCGAGGTTAAATGTTGGTAAAACACAGGCTCATTCTCTCAGCTGAATGCTGTAGGTGAAGGGTTTGCAGTGCGGAGAGAGGCATGGGTAACTAGAGACGCTGGGGAAGGGAGGGTATTTTGAAACAATGACCCAATGTCCTTGCTCAGGGAATGTGCGTAGGAGACGCGCAGCTGAAGAACACAAGGGGGTCAGAGGACAGTTAACTCTTCTCCTTCCTGTTCAGCGCGCTCTGGTCTTTGACGGGATAGTGGGAGTTTGGAGCCTTCAGGCAACAGCTAGAATGACTCAGACTAACATCCTGAGAAGCGCTGTTTGTTGAGTTCTAGAGTGAGTGCTGTGTTTTGTGGTTTGTGCAGATGTGGACGAGTGTCGTGACCAGCCGTGCCACACCCAGGCCTTGTGCTCAAACAGTCCAGGATCTTTCCAGTGCCAGTGCCAACCGGGATACCATGGAGATGGTTTCCAGTGCCACCTTCACAATGGTAGTTGTTTGTAGCTATTTGGATTTTTAACATTGTTTTATTCAAGTAATGTCCCAAATTCTACACTGCAAAAAATGTTTTTCTTACTTAGATTTTTGTCTTGTTTCCAGTCAAAATATCTAGAAATTCTTAAATCAAGAAGGATTTTCTAGACAAGTAAAAATTATTGTCTTGTTTTCAGAAAAAAAAAGTCCAAATTAAGTGAGTTTTTGCTTAGAACAAGTAAAATAATCTGCCAATGGGGTAAGCAAAATAATCTTATCTCAAACAGAAAACATGATTATTTTGCTTACCCCATTGGCAAATTATTTAGCTTGTTTCAAGCAAAAACTCACTTAATTTTAAATAGATTTTTTCTGAAAACAAGACAATAATTTTTACTTGTTTAGAAAATCCTTCTTGATTTAAGAAGTTTTAGATATCTTGGCTGGAAACGACAAAAAAAACTAAATAAGAAAAGCATTTTTTGCAGTGTATAATATCTGGTTCATTTGCATTATAGGTCGCCCCAAGACCCAGTGTGAGCAGCACAGAGACAGTCTTCGTAGCAGAGATGGTGATGTTCCTCTGATAGGAGCCTTCATCCCTCAGTGTGATGAGGAGGGTCAGTACAGGCCGCAGCAGTGCCACGGGTCCACAGGTCACTGCTGGTGTGTGGACAGTAGAGGACAGGAGAGAGCGGGAACCAGAACTCCACCTGGAGCCCCAACAATAAACTGTGACGAGCCAGGTAAGAAATAGGCCTCCCTCAATAGGTCATCTGTCCTATTCTATATAATATTTCATTTTTAAAATTAATTAATTGTTATGGGATCTGTTATAGAGCGGTAGCAGTTGCTCTTTTTGTTGGAATATCTCCAAACTCTAGATGCTTTGCAAATTTTAGATGCTGTTATTTTAACAATTTATATACTTTTTTAGCATTTATTAACATTTTAACATAGCTTTTATTTTTATTATTTCAGTTTAAATATTGTCATTATTTTAGTGCAAGTTTTAGTGATTTTCATATGTGCATTTGTCATTTTTATAACTTTTTTAAATATATCTATTAATTTAAATGTATTTATTTTTATTTAAGTTTTTGCAATTTTAGTACTTCAACTCATCAAAATTTCTGTTAGTGGCCAAGGCAACATTTCTGATTTTAATTTTAAAGAGTTTTAAGTTTACATTTTTCATTTAATATTTGGTTTTATTTTAGTTAGAGGAGGTTGAATGTCATCAGAACCACCAGAAACATCAAAAACTCTGTAACTTTATTGAAGTAACTTTATGGCTGAGATTTTTGTACTCAGGGGTGTGATGAGAGAATAACAAACTCTTTTCTATCCCAAGTGCATCCAGCGCGTCCCACGACCCT